ATTTGCGCCACCCTCTTGTCAACTTGTGGAAGGTTGTAGGAGGACCAGCAATTGCTGGGTCAACAACTGGACCTGCAACACTTGCAGAGGCTAATGAGTTGGCAGTTGCTGCCGCAACTATAGAGTCTGCACCTGCTGCATTCCCAGCCTGATTGTATGTCAAGCTCATAGAGGTAGAGGTACTGAGAGGGGCATTTACAGTGGAAACGAGGGTAGCATTAGTAGCAGCAGGCAAAGGAAGAGGATAGGTCATTTGGGCCTCAACATTCTCAACAATCCTCTGCGGCAGATCACAGAAGAACGACAACTTTGCTCGAGATCTTGTCATCCTCTACAGTTGAGAAGGTATGCAAAAGAGCCTCATTTGCTCGAGATCTTCTCATCCTCTACAGTTGAGAAGGTATGCAAAAGAGCCTCATGGGCTTCAAGCACCTGCTTCCTAAGAACCTCTGCACTCCTTTGCTCCTCCCTCAATTTCAGCATTAGTAGCCTCTCATACAATTGTCTTTGATCCCCCTCAGACTGATCCCTTAGAATCTTTAGTTGTTCTGAAGTCATAGCCATGTTGGTCCCCATATAGAATGGAAGTTGTCAAACTTCTTGGGGTTGTCAGAGAGGTGCAGACCGATTAAGAGTTCAACAAGTCCCTCAAGATGAGCACAATGGCTCTCAAGGAGAGTACACTCTTTCTCCTTTCCCTAGACAGGACGAACACTCCTCTTTCCAGTCCTCTTTCTCTCAAGAAAAGTATTATTTCCCTCTCCTCTCTCCTGCTCTCTTTTGAGACCATGTCGTTAAAGGCACGTAATCACTCAAATGAAGAAGCAAATAGTACAGCACAATAGAAAGGACGACATAACTCCTACCTGGAGCAGCATTTCATTTGGACTAGAGAGCTACATCAATAACCACAACCACAATAATAGAGGTATGATCTAAAGAAAGAGTCTATTCAGATCGGGCATGAGATCCACTCTTACCTAACCTAACCAAGATCAAAGATAGTCAGATCGATCATAATCAGGAAGTAGAAACAGGTGAAGCAATGTGGATCAAGGGAGTAGAGTATTGCCACCCAGGCGACGGACATAGCGTCAAGGTTTGTGGAGAAACACAATCAAGATCCGCGCGAAAGTTGAACAGCTCATCCTAGGCTACCCCTTTCTCCAATCCCATCAGAGAGTTGCTGAAACGGCATCAGAAATGGTAGCAAGCAAGCCTCTTCTCACTGGGATAGGGTCCCACTGGGTATGCATGCACCCAGGTTAGTTGTCAACCTTACCCTCTTCCATAAAGGAAGGAGCCTTTACTTAGTCAGAAAGAGGTTTTAACAATGCATCCCAAGTCTAGCCCTGCACAAGCGGTTATCGGGTAGCTGAAAATTCAGGAATGAAAATTCTGAAGTGAGAGTTTTGGACAGTCTGAAAATCCTGAATGGTTCTGAAGTGGTGAAAGGTCGGAAAACCCTGAAAACCACCTATTTAGGCAGGCTGCATCCTGAAGTGGTGAAGGGTGTCCTGAAGTGGTCAAGTGAGAGTTTTGGGCAGTCTGAAAATCCTGAATGGTCCTGAAGCGGTGAAAGGTCCGAAGACCATGAAAACCACCCGTCACCACTTGAGGATGTAGCTTGCCTAAACAAGTGGTTTTCAGGGTCTTCGGAGCTTTCACCACTTCAAGACCATTTAGGATTTTCATACGTGAATGGTCCTAAAGTGGTGAAAGGTCCGAAGACCCTGAAAACCACCTGTTTAGGCAGGCTGCATCCTGAAGTGGTGAAGGGTGTCCTGAAGTGGTGATGAAAAATACGACTGCTATTAACCTTCTCTCTAGCCCTGGCGAACTGAAAAGGAAAAGACATAGCATCATATGATCCCTAAGCCACAACCAAAGCCAGAATGAATTACAAAGCACCATTGGAAGAATAAGCATTGCAAATCAAGATACTTCACATCCATCCAACCAGTGAGAGGAGTCCACAAAGGCATCCACAACAACCAAGATCACGAGTTGGAAAAAGACTCGACGCATACTCAAAGCAATGCAACCTATTGCACGCAACCATGGGCATCACCCAATTACATCGCACTTGCCTATGCTGTCTGGACTCTTGAGATGAAGAACAACTCACCTCCCCCTCTCGCCTGCCTTCCTGACCCAATCAACAACCTCTACTCTAGTGTACCTATCTTGAGGAGGGCCTACTCCACACCCATGTACACCGCCGCATCCCCACATTGATGTTGAAGAACCAATCAGCAACTTGTAGACAGCCGGTGCAGCCATATCCACTCCATCTCCAAGTTCACCTTCTTGAAGAGAAGCCAAGTAGTCGCTCAATGTCCTCCTCGTGCTCATAAGCCAGATGTGAGTCACAACTCACTCTCTCCTCCCTCAGATCACCTCAAATTGACACTCCCTGTGTCTCGCCACCCCATACAATCACTTTCGAAACCCTACATGCCCTAAACGCCTCACCACCCCACTTCTACACTAATCTTACACTAATCCGAGTTTAATTGCCCTCATCAACTCGGATTAGTGTTAGGGCGACACGACAACCTCTCGCCGGCAAGTAAGTCATGCTCTAATACCAATTGTTCTGACCCTGGGTATCTGTCAGTGCAAAGCTCAAAGAAAGACAATGCCATTCAATTGCAATTGAAATGAGAGAGATTGAGAAGAAAAACAAACTAAGGAAGAAGAAGAAATGAGAATGGACGAAGAAGGAGATGAACACAGATAAGAACCAATGTCATTCTCCCCTCATCTCGCCACCATTTTCCCTCTCCAACGCCTCTTCCAACTTTCTCATTAATAATAATTATAACAACAAAACAATGAATGAATGAACCAGAATCAATGTCTGAATCCTTCCCTTACTGCCAGCCCCTCAAGAAGTACTCCATAGCCATCTTACACATCCTTCCACTACTTGGCTAAGCCAGTGGCTATGGCGGACAATCAGAGCCTAGCTCCGATGTTCAAAGGACAATGCAAGGCTACTATGCCTCTCCCAATATGGCTGCCATGCCACATTCCATCCCCGGAGTCTTCCTTCAAAGTATCACCCTCTTTGGGGCCTTCCAGGTGCAGCAAGATGAAGGTGCAGAACACCATAGCCAAGGTACACTCCCCTCTTCACTCTCCCCCCTCTTCTTCCTCCTCCTCCTGCTCCTTCATCCTCCTTCCTCACTCCTCCATAGAAATGTATTCCTCCTTCTCCGCCTTGATCTCCTTCACCATAGCCAAGATGGGGCCCAAGTTCCGCCTTCTTCCTCCACCCAGCATTGCACCAGACCGGTGAGTGCACTAGCAGCCTCACGGCTTGCTACTGGAAGAATGAGGCGGGATGCAGCGCTCAGTCTTTTGATTATACTGCAGCTGGACTCCACCGTGGACACTTTCCGAGGTTCCCAGCCGCTCGGCCTGCCGGTTGCCTGCCCGCCTCTACCGGGAACATCATTGCAGTCTGATATTTCCCCATCGTGGGCTCTAGACTCTAACCTACCAGACTGGTACCTACCCCTTAGTCTACCGGGCCTCTAACCTACTACTTCGGCCTACAGAAGGTACTACCTTTTTGACCTATCTGCCTACCTGCCCGCTGCTACTTGCATCCACGGGCCTCTTCTACCTGACCTCCCCCCCTGCAACCCCAAAAGACACACGGCCACAGGTTTGTACCAGCCCGAGGGCCCTCACCAGCAGGTCACACACACACACACACACACACACACACACACACACACACACATGGGGCCTCAGGCAAATGGCAAACACATGGGATATCAGCAAGCACTCAGCCCAACACGGAAATGCCAGCAAATCAATCCAGCATCCAGCAATACTCAGAAAACAGCAGATTCTCAGTCTGCAGTTTTGCAGGTCATTACATAGACATGGAATAAGATAATTTTTCACCTTTTCTTTACCTCTTTCTTTACCTTTTTCTTTTCCTTCTTTTCTTTTCCCCGTTTTTACCTTCATTTTTCATGTGTGTGTGAGAGATCAGCCAGGGTTTTCTGTCAAAAGGGTCCCCAGTTCAAATGCAAAACATTACGATCAAAGGATTTCCACCATACACGCAAGTGCACGCTGTGCAGGCAATTGCGCACGAACGGCACACAAGCGCACGGGACCTGTGTGTCCCACTGCCCAGTGTGGCGCACAGGGGAAATAGACACCCAGTAAAAAAAGGGTCCCTCCCTGCTGTCCCAAAGACCTATCCGACACTATTTCTGATGCCCAATGGCAGGGTAGTCTGGCCGATTGTCGGCACCCCCGGAACCATAGGCAGCCAACCTGCCTACGGTAGGCGCCGACAAGTAGGCAACCGCTAGGCAACCTGCAGTTGCCAAAAAAATTGGCAGGGGTCCGCACAATTCGCCTCACCGACCGACTTTCAGGAGAGGCTGGTCCCTGGGAAGCTTCGAAGGCTCCACAAAAGTAAGAGCAGAGCAGCACTTCACACCATTTTGCCGCTCTCACTTTCGTAGAGCGCCAGTGTCTAGCCCTGCATTGGTTCCCCTCTTACTTCTATTCTACAGGCCCCCAAACACCCCCTCTTTACTTCTGTTCTTGAGCCCCCCAAACCACCCCTGTCCGCCTCCCCGAACACCCCCCCAAACACACCCTGAACCTCCCCCAGTGAACCCCCGAAACACCCCCTGAGCACCCCCCAAACAACCCCTGAACCCCCCCAAATACCCCCGAACACCCCCCAAACACCCCTGAAACTCCCTCCCCCCGGCATCTACGAAAACAGCAAAGAAAAAAACAAACAGGAAGTGCTACTGGTGTGCCGCACGGGCAGGTTCCCAGTGTCGTGCAGCTCGTACAGTTGCAAGTATGGTTTCCTCGGTTTCCGTGCAGCTCGTACAGTTGCAAGTATGATTTCCTCAGTTTACAAATTGATTTCATTCGGGTAACGAGCAAGACCAACCTGCATTTCCAAGAATTACGGAAGCAAACAAAGTCTCATACGTACGCAGCAGTACTACCTTTCCAAACTGAGTAATTGCTTGGACACCATCCCCATGAAGAACGTTGTGGAGGAAGATTACATGCTTCCTATCCAAGTACAGGTGGCATGTTTTCCCAACCTTTTCAAGAGCAGGAAGAAAACCTACAAAAAAGAGGAAAAAAAGTACCATAAGAAACAGAACAAGAAGACAAACAGAGGGAAAGGGTTTGGTTATCCTGTGGACACCTTTCAAAGAAAACCAATCTTTTTCATAACGTATGTTTCTCAAGTTCACTGTGCCGAGTATGCAATTCAACAAACCGATGAATCCCTCAACCACTGTTTCATAGACTGCGTAAAGGCCAAACAGCTCTGGCAGGACATAATAATAACTTGGAACAAACATTCCAAAAGTATAATTGCAATTAACCCCGCTACACTATTCCTAGACAAAGAACAAACCCCCCCTCTTAAAGGCTTTGAACTCTTCCTCTTTGCTCTAATTAGGAAAGGTACTCTCTGGGCAATTTGGAAAAAGAGATGTGCAGCTAACTTCAATGACTCCAGCGACAACTCAGAGAACCCCCTCATCACCATCAATCAAGTAATCGAAACAGAGATACAGGCCATCTGGAGCAAAACAAAAAAACCAACGTCAAGAAACACCGGATAAAAAAATGGAAATCATCAAGAAATTCAAGTCCTCAAGGCTAGGCTATGGAAAGCTCGGCACAATCATGGGAGACAGGCTAGTTCTCAAGGACTGGCTAGTCATACCAGCACAAGGCAATCAGGTACATCCTCCCTCCCAAATGATAACTGCGATTCCAGTGCCGGTCGAATCCAATGCATTGCCAGACGATGGAACAGACCGGAGAATCTGAGCCCAAAGGGAAATAAAAAAGGGAAAAGAAAGCTCAACACAACAAATAACRACAAACCCACTYCCAAAAATCGGTTATGCATAGCATTAATACTAAACCACCCATCATCCCCTACACCCCAACTTACACAGTCTCTAAACCAACCTCATAAGGTCCAGCTACCCCCTTTACTACATCCCCCTCACCACCGAACCCTCCACACACCTCCCACCAATACCCCCCACCACCGCACCCTACACACRMTACCCACACACTGACCAACTACAGCGTAGGAGCCAAGCAAAGCCTACAGAGCATCAGTTATTAGTTCGGCACCAGCAACTATACAGAACTTTAGCCCATGAGCGGAATTTAGAACAAAAATACAGGGCCTAAGTCTACGGCTATTACGRACCACGGACTACAGGATTTAACTTCTAGCRAAGCTCACAGCTAAGAATTGCTCTAGTCGTCCCAGCGATCYAYGCWAACCCGACAGCTAAGCAACTGAGAGGGACAGGCTAGAGACAGCTCTGTAGCCAGACAACAAGTAGAGCGTAGCAGGATAGTATAACAAGGAGGTACCACAATGTTAGAGTACTTCAATCAGGCTACCGTAGGCAGGGGGGRGAGACKGTACATCCTTCACTCGGGATGTAATTCATCGGTCCTTCACGCCATAAGACTGCCAGTGACAGGCTGCAAACAAGGAGACATCTAGCGAGGGTTTAGGGTTTTAGCACCAATTACAGAATAAGAGCAGAACCTCAGTAATACAGGCTAACTTAGGCAGGGGTGAAGGGAGGTACATCCTTCCATCGGGAAGTAATCAATGCCATCCTTTCGGGCCTCCACACCATGAGGGGGAGGAGCGTGTGTGTACACATATTGTAATTCTTTCTGACTTGCCGGTGGAATAGGAACCGGACTGATGCTCCCCAGAATGGAAAAGGAGTCGGAACCATAAGGTTCTGTTTAAAAATTCTCAAGTTCACTAAAAAAAAGCCAGTTCATGCACAAATTAATAAAATTATGTCAATTCACCATAAGCAATTCAATTATTTTCAAATTTCAATATCACAGATTCACAGAATAGAATGACCTGCAATGACCGCGTGGTGGTTAACGGAGACCCAAAATTTCAGCGTTCTTTAAATGCTATTTATAAGAAACCCCGAAGGCCTTTTTAACCAAACTTTGCATCATTCCATAGAGTGGACACCATATTTACAAACCACCCAAAAAACAAAAAAAGAGGGTGAAACGGTGAGGCAAAAGTGCACTTGACTGAAGAATTGCATTCAGAGAATTTTCAGAATTTTCAGCGTTGTTTGGAAATGGTCACCACAAACAATTCCAATTGGATAAAAACACTCAGACACCCTTAGATGAAAGAGTGGTATTTCAAGCTTGGTAGTCACTGCTGACCACCTCCCACCTATCCTACACATTCAATCAAGGAACATTAAGAAATGGTCACCAGACACAATTCCAACAGTCCAAAAAAAAAAAAACCAAAAAAGCTAGGCTACCGGCCGGGCCACCCGGGTCACCCTGTTTTCCCGGGCGGCCCGGCCGTGCAAGGACCAGGGAAAAAAAAAAAAAAAAAAAAAAAAAAAAAAAAAAAAAAAAAAAAAAAATTAAGAAAAAAAAACAAATAAAAAACTTTTTCTTCAGGGTCACGTTGAAATTCTTTACCAAATTAAAAAAAAGAAATACAACTAAAAATAATTTTGATTTTTTTTTATTTTTTTTTTTTTTCCGACCGGCCGGGGAAGTGGGTCCCGGGCCACTCTGGTAGCCTAGCAAAAAAGCAAAAAATTGGCCAAAAAAACCTGATTTCAGCAATGAAAACAGTTTGTCTCGATTTTTCTGAGTATTGTCGAGTGGTGGTTTGATTTGCTGAGATTTCCGTTTTCTGAGTGAGAATGATGTTTGCTTGCATGTGTATAACCCCCTGTATGATGATTGCTATGTGGAGTACTAATTGTGTGCTCGCCCTGTGTTTTGTGTGTCAAAGTAAGGGGTAGTTTACAAATTGGGAAAAGCAGGGACAGGACTGAAATTGGACACCAGACGGACTTCTAGAAACGCCAACATGAACAGGGACATAAGACGAATTTTGCTAGTACCAGTCGGTGATTTTCCAGCAACTCGGGTAGGCCCAGCAGAGGTCCAGTAGGCTAAGAAGAACCCGGTAGTTTCCAAAAACGCCATCTAGTCAGGGCCCGTACCTACATAGTAGGTAGGTTAGATACATGCCCTGAAGTAGAATTGCAGTCTGCGATGACGTTCCCTCCAAAAGCCAGGAACCTCAGGTATGCCAGCACACTGGAGGGGTAGTCATACGACGGCCAAAGTGAGGCTGGAGGCTGAGTGGCAAGATATATTATTCAGGCACATTGAGTGAAGTGGTATCTTACCCCGCAGTCATGCTGCTGAACCGTCCAGAGGGTGAAGGTAGGAGGAGCTTCTGCTGAGAAGTGGAGCTAGAGCGCGAGGAGACGACCTCCATGGCTATGAAGTACTGGTAGGAGGGAGAAGGCGTATGCACTGAACGTGCAATTTTGCAATTTGTTTCAGTCTCGGGTACTAAGCGGTACGCTATACACGCCTAGTTCCTACGGGCTGTGAAACCGCGCACTGATTGAGCGCGCAGCCGGCGCTCATGGATTTGAGCGCTGCTCAAAAGTGCACTCACAGCGTGCTTGAGCCGGGAATATTTCTGGGGGGGCAGAAAAGAAGTATAAAAAAAACGAAAAAAATATAGAGTTGTAGAAATTTTTTTTAGGTCTACAACCCCATATTTTTTATTTGATTTTTGAGGTTTCAATATATTTGTAAAAAATCAAAAACTGAAAAAGAAAGAAAAACAAAAAAGATGAAATGGGTGGGTTAAACTGGGTTTTCCTTTTTTTTCACAGAGATTATTTTGCGGGCAAATAATAAACAAAAAAAAAAGGGTTGTAGAACTTTTGAAGATCTACAACCCTATATTTTTTATTGTTTTTTTTTTTAAGTTCAAATGTATTTTTGAACATCAAAAACATAAAAACCAGGAAAAAAAAGATGCACACACACAGACACCCCCCCTCCCCCGCACACATGCACGCACACACGCACGCACGCACATGCACACGCACGGAGAGAGAGAGAGAGAGAGAGAGAGAGAGAGAGAGAGAGAGAGAGAGAGAGAGAGAGAGAGAGAGAGAGAGAGAGAGAGAGAGAGCCTTACCGGGCAGCTCTGTTTGACAATATACATATATGCAATAACCCATGCAGTATGCCTCGTGGAATGTCTGAGGGCCTTGCCAGGCCACACTCAGACCCAGGCCGAAGGGGGAAAGAACCCCACGTAAAGATTCGGGGCCTGAACGAGTGACAATTGACTAAAGTCAACTGTCGGACACCCAACAGTCAAAGTCACAGTGTACCCAGCCCAGGCCGCCGGTCAGACGCACACACTTGTTTGTATACAGGTACCCAGACAGCATCAGGACCAAAGGGAAGTCTGCAACTGTATACAATCCAGGCCCTCTACTGTGAGTCAATCTGTACGACTGTGGGAGGGAGACCTGAGGCCAGACTGCCTCGACAAACACTACATAAGGCTTGGTCTCCAATAGGTCAACATTTATGCTGCCTTGACTGGCTCGACGCTGGCTTGACGCTGGCTGTGCGCTAGTACTGTGGACGACGACGCGGGACTGTGGTAGCATGCTGGCACCTTCTGTTCTGTGCGCCAGGCACTGCTGACGTGGCACTGCCACCTGTCTATCTTGCTGATGTGGCACTGCCACCTGTCTACATTGCTGATGTGGCACATACCACTTGTCTACAAGGCTGATGTGGCGCTGCCACCTGTCTACATTGCTGATGTGGCGCATGCCACTTGTCTACATTGCTGATGTGGTGCTGCCACCTGTCTACAATGCTGATGTGGTGTTGCCACGTCTTCATTGTTGATGTGGTGCATGCCACCTGTCTCTACTGCTGACGTGGCATTGGCCACGCTGTCTACATGAGGTGACTGGTTGCGACAAGGAGGGAGATCGGGATCTGTGGATGATTGGGAATTGGTACTCACCTGAGGTTGACGTTGATACCGTGTACTGCTGTCGTCTTCATGGTCTCCACGAGATGATAGTGCCACGTGGCACTTCTGTGTGATCAAGACTTACCAGACTTGATACCGTATAGTATTGCTGACGTGGAGGCGAGGGGAAGCCTGGAGAAGGAGTGGGAAAGAATTGGGGCTACTCTTGTGTGGTCATTGATTATCTCTTCCACCTTCTCCTC